CCTTGACTATGGCTTTTTTCCTCCTTTTTTTCGCTTTTTTCCCTTATTTTCTTTTTTCTTTTTCTTTTTCATCTGCAGATGTAGATTTAGAAGAGGCTGGAAAAGAGGGTGGAAAAAGCAGGGAGGTTATGAGGCTTAATAAAGAAGGTAAGTGGAGCTACTGGCATTTTAGTGTTAGCATGTGTGGCAGAAATCTTCACAGGATTTCGACTATAATGTGAATTGTTCTGCTGGGTACAGAGTGACTAAGGCTTGTCAAAAATTGAGCACGCCCAGGTGTCTCCTGCTTCGTGTTAACTTCTTTCAAAGTATAAATACAACTGGGGTGGGGGGGTAAAGAGGGGGTGACTGTTGGAGGCAGAAGTTTACTGCACTTCAGTTGCAGTCCACGTTTGGACCTTCTGATGCCTATCTGCCATTCACATTTGCAGCATCATTGCCAAAGGTGGGGGGTCAAAATCTGTGAAGTGAGGAGAGGGGCTTCCCTCACAAGCATCCCAGCCTTCCTTGTGGGTAAATACACAACAGTTTAATGAACCCCACATGGTCAATCATTCTATCAGCTACTTCTCCGCTCTCCACTGAAAACCACTGTACGTGCAAACCTTTGCAGCAAGTTACATTTGCCCACTTTTTGCTTGGTCACAGACTGTTATGTGGCCAGCAGGGTTAGGGGAATCTGTGTGAGCAGCCGCCTAGCCTGTCACCCATCTCTGTTTCCCCAGCCTGGAAATATAGTACCTGAAATGGAACTCAATAAGTAGATAGGTCATCCTAGACTAAGGCAGGCAAGTAAAGCCACAGCCTGCTGGAACTGGGCATCAAACACACATGGTCATCATAAATAAGTCATATCCTGTTCATGTTTGCAAGCCTGCCATATGTAACTCTGGCCTATGGGCTCCACATGGAGCAACTTCAGAGGCCACTTCCTGCTGAACAAATGGATGGGTTAATTTGAACTGTGATTCACTATCTGATGTCTTATAAACATGGTTGGCTGAAATTGGGGGTGGGAAGATGGCGCGAGGGGCCAGAAGAGATTGGTAGGGAGTGTTGAAAGAGTTTAGCCGTAACTAGGCCATAGGAGCATTGCTCGTCCCAAATGAATGGAGAAAAGGCTATTATATTCCAAAGAATGATCTCCCTCATAAACCAGGATATCATCCTCTAAGGGAGCTGAAACCTGCTTAGAAAGATGGAACTTATTTTGTGGATTGACACCTATGACAGTTGGTTTTCTGTGCATAATCATTTCCTGACCATCCAGTGAGAGGAAAATTTGAGCTTCAGAAAAATAACATGGAGGTTAAAATGCATGCATATTCAAGGACAGTTCTCTAGCATAGTGGTTCTGCTAATTAAGCACTTTGATTGGGAATGAAACCTTATTCTAAAGATGTTGCCTCTAAATATCTTACTGTGATCTTGACATGTCTTTAGGATGCACAAGGGAATGAAATCAAGTGGACATCTTACAAGTAGCAACTTATTGGTGCTAAATGTCCATAAGTGTTGGCAATGGGAAGTATCATTAGAGATTGTTTTCTTTACAAACTCTTGAGATCTTTAAAAGCTGATGGACTCAGTTATCAGACCCTGGCAATGGAAAGGTTTCCATGAAAGAAGATGAGGCTGTGAAAACCTTTAAATTAAAGTTGAGTAAAGGTCATGGTATGGCACAGGATTGGTACCTCTCAGGCCTGGTGATCAAGTATAACTATAACACAAAACTCATATTCTGCACCCTCCTCCCTGCTTCTATTTCAAAAGACTTGTTCTCAAATTATCTTTGCCTTATGAGAAATCGATTCTTTTAAGGAAAAATGAAAAGCTCTCCTTTGCTCAGAATTCACAAGTGGTACATTCTGCTTATTATATCCTTTGTCCTGTAAAGGTACAAAGATTTAGCTCCCAATTATATGCATATGCATTTGCATTAAGGACACTGCTGTTCACTGTAACATACAATTGCTGAGTTCACCAAACAACCATGTATGGGCTAAAATCTCTTTGTTCATGGGTCTGGTGGAGCAGACTTGGGTTAGCTATTCCTGGAGGTCTTCTTGGTATATGCACAAAGTTTTCTTTACAGATAGAGTACACATAAACTAAATATATATCCCCCCCACCTCCCACCATGATGAAGAATTTAAGGGTCGAGCTGGGATTCTGTCAGGGTATTTGGTTGCCAGGATCTCCAGAAACACTGGTTGCATTAGTCTTGCCATGAGCTTTCTTGTTGGAGTCATGAAGGTGGTCTCAGAATGGATATGTGTTTGTGGATGGGTCTCTGCAGGACACAAAGTGATTTAGGTGTGATTATATTTATTTATGTGTGTGAGCATGCATAGATGACCATAACACTGTTGGTAGTAAGCAGGTTTTGAGAAGAAATGTGGGCTTTAATAGCAATGAATGAATAGCAATTGAGAATTGAAAGGATATAATCCAGATTTTTTTTAAAGTATGTTTTTATTGATTTTAGAGAGAGAGAGGAATGGAGAGGGACAGATAGAAACATCAATGCATCAACATCAATCTACTGCCTCCTGCGCATACCCCTGGTGGGGATTGAGCCTGCAACCTGAGCACATGCCCTGATTGGGAATCAAACCAGGGGATTTCTTGGTACGGTACATGGGCCCAGGCTCAACCACTGAGAATCACCAGCCAAGCTATAATCCAGATTTTGATATGATTTTTTTTATTGTGATAAAATAAACATAATATAAAATTTACCATTTTAAGCATTTTAAAGTATACAATTCAGTGGTACTAAGTACACTCACAGTGTTGTACAACAATTACCACTGTTCATTTCCCAGACTTTTTTATTATCCCAACCAGAAATCCTATACCCATGATATACTAACTCCCCATTCCCCTCTCCCCCTCAGCCTTGGTAATCTCTATTCTATTTCGTCTCTATGAAGTTTTCTAAATACTATGAATAATTATATATATGAGGTATATGATATATATGTATATATCATGCAATATTTGTCCCTTTGTGACAGGCTTATTTCACTTAGCATAATGTTTTCATGGTTCATCCATGTTGCAGCATATGTCAGAATTTCATTCCTTTTTATGGCTGAATAATATTCCATTGTGTGTATATACTATGTTTTGTTTATCCATCAATCTGTTGATGAAGACTTGGCTTGTTTCCATCTTTAACTGTAGTGAATAATGTTACTGTGAACATTATTGTGATACAGTATTTTTATTGAGTAGGCTCAGGGAGGGAAGTTAGTTTGGAAATGTGAAAAAACAATCATTTTGCCTTCTGTCTCTATCTGGCCACAACTTCAAAAGACACAGGAAAGACTTGCAGACTTCTAAAATAACCTGATTATTGTCACATAATTCTTCTCCATTCCTCATTCCTTTCACCTTTTTGTGCTTCTGTTCTCCACCTATATCAGTAGGAAGTGTTAACTGAATGCTTTGAAATCCCTCTAATAAAGTCTTTACATCAATGTTATTGTTTCATTCAAAGTTAACTAAAATTACAGTAAAGAGGAATTTGGAAAATACTTTTGAACCTTGCCAAATCATCACCTGGGTTCAGAAGATGTTGCTAATTCCATGCTTGGATGTGGTCATATGAGGTTATGCCGAGGGCAGCCTGGCATGGTGAAAGGATCAGGAGAGAGGGATTTGAGTCAGCTTCGTAAGTTCCCACATATGACCTTGGGAACATCACTTCCCTTCTCTGGGCCTCTTCTCTCACATGTAAAGTAAGGATATGGGGTTAAACATCGTCTAAAGTCCCTTTAACACCTCTGAACCTAAGTTTCTCTATTGAACGTAACTACACTTGAGACAGTCATACCAGACAGGCTGATTTTGAGGAAAAAACGAAAACAAAAAAACTTACTACATACTGGGCTTATTTTCTCATTTTATAATCTCTTGGTGGCAAAAATCACTGCATCTCATACACAAGCATATTCTACTACAAATAGTTTGTGAATGGTATGTGACCTTTAGGGCTTTGGAATGACTGAAGGTTTGAGTCCAAACCCAGGGTGATGTGTTCCTCTCAGGGGAGAGTGAGTTGACCTAGGTCAGCTTGGCTGAGTCAGGCATTTAGATTTTCTGAGAGAAGGGG